ACTTATGTAAATAATAGTTAATATTTATCACAGGTTCATATCTGAACATCTTCAATATTTACCGATCTTGAAATTAAAAAAAAAGAAGAAAGTGTAATTCTAAAGCATGTGCTTGAATGTGTTTCTTTTCTCTTCGCTTTTTTTCTTTTTTTTTCGAGGGGAGTGTGGGGGGTGTGGAGTATAAAGGGAGAAATATACATAGTGAATCAGTTCAAATTGGACAATATTTTTTCTTTAAATGATACGTTACATATGATTTTCTAACAGATAATCACCACCATCATGATCAAAATTTCTATCATTTCACTCAATAGTAATCTACAAATAATCATTTATTTTTATTACAAATAAAAAAATAATAATCAAACTGAATGAAGGTTATGAATCAACAAATAAATCATTTTGTAAATATATCTAACTGTGAAATAAACCTGTATTTACATAAGTTTGTTTAGTTGTAAATGTCTAGGATAATGAACTAAACAAGAAATAAAGTAAAATATTTATGAGCAACCTTGTAAAATCTAATGTTGCTTAACGTTACTTATCAGTAGACTGTACTAACATTAGAACTGATGATCTTAGCGTTGATTATTATTTTTTTTAAATGACTCTCAAGCTGTTGTAATCCATCTTCATTTGTTCAGTAAATCTATAATTTTAATAATCCAGAGAATAACAGATTTCTTTCGTTAAACTGTAATCTACCCATACAAGCAATAAGATTTGGATCCATAGGTCAACAAACAAACCACTATGATTGTAAGTAAATCTAGATTGTGAGAATTCGAAATATGACTGGCTTATATTACATACTGTGAATTCATAGTCAGTCGAAATAACAAGGTATCTACAAAATCAGTGCACCTGTAAATATTATCCTATAATTTAAATGTATAAATTTAGTTATAAGAGAATATTTTGCAGTTCAATCTTTATAAATTTCCATTGAACTGTTCACGAGAAAAAAATCATCAGTTATCTGTTCCAAGATCAAGTTTATAATTCCAAATTTCGTTTCAAAAGACTAATAGTCCTATTTCAGATTTTTTAGAAATTAATTTTCAAAACTGATTTGAGTGGTCTTATTCTTAATTTGTAACTATTCAATGGACTGATGAGGATTAGCGGGTAGTACAATGAACTAGAAAAATTTTAACAATAAGAGCTGATCAAAAAACCAGAAAGCTCAGCCACTAAGTTTATTAATTAACCTGACCATCGACGACTCTATGAAATAGGAGTTCAGCTACCAAAATAGGCAACTGAATATATCTTTTTACGAAGTCACATTTTAGTTAATTTAGTATTTGGCTGGCATAGCAATCCCTGATGTTCATTTTATTCTATTTGGAGATTAATTTTACTACTTGCTTTCTTCATATCAAACATGCCAGAATCTTATAATTAAAGGTTGTATCAAATCAATTCACTCAGGATGATAACAAAGACTGACGAATATGAATATCAATAACAGACCATACTAGTGAATCTGTATTTGTTCAGTGTTAAATATGTTATGATTGACAAAAATGGAAAATCGCTGCTTAATTTCTGATCTTCAATTTTATCAATCTTATATATTATCCGAAAATTAATTCAGTTATACTATTCTGGTTAATTACTCTTTAAATTAACGATAGTTTTAACTCTTTAACATATTCAAATAGTTGACCAGTTGTCATATATTGTAAATTTCACTCGGTTCGGGTTTATTTATCGGTTAGTAACTGAAATCATCAGTTTGATCATTTAAATATCTTATTAAATCAACTGATCCTTTATAGTAATGTATTAGCCAGAAATTATTTTACCCATTGAAGCATGTAATTTTAAAAGATGTGGTCTGTGCTTCTGGTGTCGATAGATATAATTAGGATGTACCACCAATCGAAAGTGAAATACTTGGCTTCAGAAGGTTAAGGTCAAAGGAAAAAGAACGAGAACAGAGAATAATTTTTGTGGAAGTGAAGAAACAATGAAGTCTGAGACGATTGACTGGTTTATTGCAAATGAAGTATTTACTGTACGGTTCTCAGATTTTACTAAGACATTCTATAATTTATGTGTTTAAATACATTCGACTGTCCACACTTTTGTTCTCGTTCACTACAATAGTTTTAAACGAATCTATCTGTCTAAAGAATAAATTTAACGTTTTTGGTTATAAGTCATTACATTTAAAGTATGCTGGTGAATTTCTCGGGACACAATCAAATAAAACAATAAAATCGTCTTAACAAATAAATGATAAGATTAATTTTTATGTATTTAAAGCAGAATAAGACATGTTAAGCTAAACATAATAAGAAGCATAATTCTATTTTAAACTATACTTATCAAGAATTCTTAAAATTACAAATAATTTTATCTGCAATCTATTAACCGTTAAAGTAATTCCTTAATATTCAAAAGTAAAGTTGGATAATGTACGGTTCATATTGTGAAGTCATCATTTCTTTTAGTCACCAAAGGAGTCTTCAGTGGTCCATAAGAATATTCAATCAAAATACTGATAAAAATGGTGGAGTGTATCAGTATATAGTATAAAAAGTTATAACAATTATGTTATCAAGTGCTTGATTATTAAACTTATTTATTTTAACATTAAAATTTTTAAAAAAAATGGTATTTTACTCATATCTTCAAATCAATCGATTTGAAACAAATGATTATAATCAATTGAAGATGTTTTATTCCCTTCTAATCAAGTACATATTTATTGTGAGGTTTAGAAGTATTACCATGTCTGATAAATGTTATTATTTATCTTGTAATTGATTACTATTATTATTATCATAAGACTTGAGATCATATTGTCGAAAATAAACTTCCATACGCATAGAAATGGCATATTATAAGCCTATTATCTTATCTAACAGTCAAGTTAAATTAGTTTTATCTTCTCATTGACATGACCGACAATAATTAAGGTTACTAGTCAAGTTTGATTATCATTGGTTAATGATCAATTTGAAAAGAAAAATTAAATTACAAAGGTACCACTGTTTTATTACTTTTAGTCATGTTTATTTTCTGTTATTTATTTTGTGCATAAATTGTTTCAATAGCAAATGTACTACTGTTTTGAAAATTCTATGCAATTAGTTCCCTTTATAAATTTAAACAAAGCAAGAACAAATATTGATGCAGAATAGTATGAATTTATAATATTTCCAGGTTTCTCGTCAGCTGCTCACAACCAAATATGTAATAGAACTTTACATCGAGATAAGAAATAGTGTGAAACAATTGGCATAAATGAGTGTAAATGATTGGAATGACAAAGGTTTACAATAATAACTATATATATATACGCATGCAAGAACAGGTCAGAGGTTATTTGGTGTTAGAATCAAGGAAACAACTCAGGATGGGTGGTGTAGTAGTTGAGTGGAGTTCATAAATTGTGTAGTAATTTTAGATGTAGTGAAGGATTCATGGAATTAAACAGTGATAAGACAGGTTACGCAATAATTGAATAGAGTTTGAAAAGTTAACATAATTTAAGAGGGTAAGTGGGTGGAAATGTGTGAATGTAAAGTTGGTTTAAGAATTCGGTAATGGGGAGGAATATAACAAAAAATAAATACTTTAAAAATAAATAAAGAAATAAAATAACACAAATAACCAAAAAAACAATAAAGATAAAACAAAGATGGATTACCAGGGTAATAATAAGTTTACTGCTGTCTCTTTTTGAATATATATATATATATATATATATATATATATATATATATATGTATATATATAGTTATTATTGTAAACCTTTGTCATCCCAATCATTTACACTCATTTATGCCAATTGTTTCACACTATTTCTTATCTCGATGTAAAGTTCTATTACATATTTGGTTGTGAGCAGCTGACGAGAAACCTGGAAATATTATGAATTCATACTATTCTGCATCAATGTTTGTTCTTACTACTGTTCAGTTATACCTCGTGTTTTATTACTGTTTAATTGTAAACTTATCATCAATAATTTGACCTTTCATAAATAATCATAATTGGATTATATTTTACATTAATCTAAACAATTAGTCTCGTTAGCATAAGCATAAATTATTTTCGCCCTATAGCAACCCCCAACCTTCAAAATAATTTTGTCACTGTAAATCACCTTCTCGAACTTTCCTGAGTTTTTTTATGCGAACTGTCGATTATTTTGTAAGACTAATTCAAGAGTACTAGCATTAATTGTTAAGTAAACTATATAACAGGATATTCAAGTTCTTATCAAGACAACTGAAAGTGACTAATAAAATTATTGAAATTAATGTAATGGTCGAACTACTGACAGTTTACACATGAAGCTTATTCACGATTCTCAAACTAAGTCGTTAAAACGTAAATTATATGCCCAAATAACTGAGTACATTATGAAATTTAGAATTTTAATAACAAAAGCTTCTGGAAAACTGTTTTTCACAATATTCTTTGGAACTACGCACTCACGATTCAACAAGGAATCTTTACAACCATTCTCATAAGATAACAATTAACATAACATAGGGAAATTGTAATGCTTTTTTAAAAAAGAATTATAAATACTCAGATTATTATACACATGATCTGTAAATAATTTACATTATTTTATGTACAGCTTGAAATTCAGTTGGATTATTATTCTTATTATTATATAAAATTTACATTAGTGGGAAACAATTATGTCAGCTAAATACATCAAGAAAGGATACATATAGAAAAATACTCATTGATACATAAAGTAAAGAAAAATAGTTCAGCATAGCGTATTCTCCTTCATGTATGAACTCAAACTCAAAGCATTACAATCGAAGTTATTTACTTTGTTCTCATAATGATAACAAACATTATAGTTTCTATTCATTCATTTATTGTGATAACAGAGAATCTAAACAAACAGAGGCACAGAATAAATGTTAGTTTTCAATGAGAAAATGAAAATTTAATTGTCAAAACCTTGATTACCCATCAAGAAGTTTGACATAATAAATATGAAAAAAGGATGTTTGTATAACATAAGATAAAATGAGGAAATAAAAATGAATCATAATCAGAAAGAGTTTATGACCAGTAACAAGTTAGTGAGAGGGTAAAAATACAATACAGGAAGAGAAGGAAAAAGGATAGTGGCCTTGAAAAACTAAAGATATATTATAGAAATAAGAAATCAAGCTAGAAGTGCTTCAACTGAAAAAGGATTAATTTGTTTACTGGAAGTACTTTTATTTGACAGTGAATTTGAATAATGAATTGCTCCATTAGTAGTATTAGTAGCTGTAGTCGTTATTACATTTGTATCATTAATTATTAAGTGATTATTCATAGAATCACTGAATTGTATATTTGAAACATTGTATACTTGTTCGTAGTGCATCTTCTCATCACATGATATTCTATAATGTTTACTTGTTTTAAACACATTATTGATATGTTCTGAATAAATGGATAACTGTTGTCGATCTAATTCAGATGATGAAGAATTCTGTTTTAATAAACAAGTTATATGATCATTAGTTGAGTAATTGGAACTTTTAATTGAATTTTTTAGTTTATCATTATTCATCCGTTTATTAGTGATTATTCTTGTCTGGCGTATATTTTTATGATTATTATCTATTCGTGGTTTATGCCAACGTTGATGTGATGCTAAATTTGCTGGACAATTGAATACCTGTATAAGATATGAATACAAGATAATGTATATAACTTTATGGAAAGGGAATTACACTGTACCAATAAGTTTGTAGAAATGAAAGAAAATAAATAAGAAAAGAAGGTTTCCCCCTTTATTCATATGAGATGGAATTAATCAATCAATTCTTTTTAGGTATATTGTAAAAGACCAAGTAATCTCTGAATTTCTACATCTTCATTTCAACTGTAAAGTATCAAAAATGGCATTTACTGTGGACAGAAATTACTTAAGTAAATTAACTATGGCTTAATTATTTGGTTAGCTAAAAACGCTATCATAATACAGAATTATTTTCTTATTTTCTACAATGAAAGCGGTTAGAACTCAAAATTTATCAATCAATTATATAAATTATTCATTGTAACAATGAACACAATCTAATTACTTGGCTTCATAGACATATATAAAATTAATTTTTATCAAGGACTAATATCACTTAAAGAATAATCCAAAACTCACCTTAGATCATTTATTAATGTAAACCTAAGGTTCTAGATTAGGTCAAACTCAGTCAGTTGTGATCACAGAGTGTACATGGCACTTTTGAAGCACTCATCATCTGTTAGTACATAAGGTGAGAATTCAATCAATATATGATATCGAACGATCTTTAAGCAGTGTTACTGATAAGTTATTGTTTACATTGGTTTGTTGACCCTAAAAGTCACAGTATATCATAAAAGATTCTGAATATCCATTTCAATATAAGTAAATGGTCAGTATATATTTATTATTTGATTAGGTGTATTGTCGAGACGTCTGTTTTTTCATCTGATATCAGTAAGTGGCAAATATTATCTTTAGACTAATATTCTTCTATAGATTTATGTACTGATAACAATTTGTAATGAATAGAAAGTGTCTAAGTATAATAATAGCAACTGAAAACTAGATATTAATTTGTATTGCATGTTGTTCAACACATACAGTCAAAACCTTTTAAATTGAAAAACGGTTCAAAATTATGAACTACTGGCTGAAAACTAAGTATCTCTACCAATAACCTTTAGTTGAACTACAAACTCAGATATCAACATACATAGCGTAGTTATCAAAAAATATATCCACTTTAACTGAGTAGTTTGTTTGGTGTCATTCGACATATAACCTATGAATAAGAGTAGTATCTTTGAATAAAATTGAATGGTTTTATAATTGGGTGTTTACTATCTGGCCTAATAGTATAGTTCTTACTATTATTTGATAAATTACAAAAGTGTTTAATGATTAGAATAATAATAGTTACTTACTTTACCACAAATTTCACATGCATATGCTAAACTTGCCATACATGAACATGGATGTTCGGCTAAACAAAATGCATCTGGAAACCATTGAAAACATAACTGACAAATATATTCACCAATATGATTTGGTATTTCAGCTAACATTTTGACTGCTTTTTCTGTACGAATTACTGTAAAAATATTCTTATTTGTATTATTATTATTATTACTGTTATTTCTGTTTGTGCAAAATTGATTGAATTCAGTTAATTTATCATTCGTATTCATTTGTGACAATTCACGTGGTATAATATAAACACCATTAACTGGTGATGTTAAATGTTCATTAGATTTTAATTTCACTTTCGTTTTCGGCATTTGAGTTAAATGTTTAGATGAATCTGTGAGCACATATTGATTAGTTTGAATATTAGACATAGAAATACTAATTTTTTCTATTATCAATCATTGTAATATCCATACTCTTTAGGGATCTATCTTATTTTTATAGTTTAGATAAAAACCATGTTTTACCATAGAAATCATTCCTGTGTTGTAACTCATTTTGATATGATATAATATTCAATGTTTCATGAGATTTTAAATGAAAGTTCTACAATAATTAAGTTAAATACAAATAAAAAGAGTGAATACCAAAAGAAAATCTTTTTTTTTCAAAAAAAGGGACGGAATATTGATATATATTATAGGATCGAAAGAGTTGAATAATTTACTTCATAAAGAATGATAGGTGATGAGAAAAAGTTGAAAATCTCTTGGATTGGATAATTCAACAATCATTGTCAAAGAGTTTTCCTATACATACCTCTCATTGCTATTATTGAGTGATCTATTTTCATAATAATAAAGTAATCCGATAGGTGGTTGAGTAAAATTCTAATAGAATGCGATGTTTCAACATGCTTACTTCTTCGCAGTAAGTAAAAATAAATAAATTATATTAAGGTTAGATTGGATAAAAAGTGGGTTGGAGTAAAAATTGATTAAACAAAGGTTCACAAAAATCAGGGGGATAGACTATTAACATAAGTGATGATAAATTGTCATGACATGTGGTCTATTTTTTCCTCTGTATAATAAAACTTGAATTTAAATCCTCAAGGGGATCAGGTTAAAAAATGAATAAATAAAATTCCAATTTATATACTAAAACTCAAAATTACAATAACATATCTGAAGGAAATTATTAACCATAAATTTGGGTCAACTGAATGCATGTCAGTTATTAGGATCTATTGAAGCGGATATCTCTTTTGATTCGGAACTAATATATATATTTCATTATCTTTCTTACTATGCACAATTTAGAATGTAAAATAAACTTTCTTTACATCATCCACGAGCGTTAATTTCAGTAACATTTGAGTCAATTTCAACTAGTCGATTAGTAATTTGTCGAAATTTTCGAAAGTAGATTAACGTTAAAGGCCTAGTCAGATCTAGAAAAGTTGAAATTATTGAAAATAATGGACGTAATAACTTATTATTAAATCAAATAATGATTTACTGAAGTAGCTTGTTAAATAGTTTGTAATAATTACTGACTAATGTTTTTATGAACTGATATCAGTTAAAATTATTAAAATCAAGGTTCAAGTTAGCTCTTTATTACAGTTTGACTATGATGTATTATGCAAATGGTTATGTTCTAACTAGATGACTAAATGTTCTCAACAAACTCTAATGATTTTCCAGTACAGTTCTTGTGAGATCATTAACTCTGACATCAGAAAAGTCATTATTTAGCACGAAACAATTGTTCAGTGTATTTTTTTAATTTTCAGTCATTCTTTAGCTAAAGTCAGTCAGGCATAAGAACTAACTTAAAACAATTTATGATTATCAAGAAATCAAAGTACATAAGTCAATTTGTTATCAATAGTCAAACATATAAATTCTTATTCATGCATTACTGACTAACTCAATCGATGAACATACACTTTTAATAGCCAAACAATTATCTAACAACTACTAATAATTGACTCACCCTCAGTTCCATAATTTTCTACTATTTATTAAGAAACTCAATAGTATTATCCCTTATTTCATTGAGGACCAACTAAATACTAATAAAATTGTATTCACTAGTATAGGGGTTGTGGAGATTATTAGGTTTTTGATTGAGATCATGTTAGATCATGTTAAACACTATCACCATTGGATGCCAGCTCAGTGGCCCAGTAGTTTAAGCGTTCGCGCGCGAGACCGAAGGTCCTGGATTTGAATCCCGTGAGCGGGATCGCGGATGCGCACTGCTGAGGAGTCCCACTATAGGACGAGAAGGCCGTCCAGTGCTTCCAGGTTTCCAAATGTGGTCTAACATCAATCGGTTCATGATCTCAATCAAAAAATTGTATACTGTAGATGAAAAGTAATCATTAACATCAAGTGAATGATACATTGTTTTGTTTCTTATTTACAAGTCTGTAGGGATGAATTAGAAAAAAAAATCTTATTTTATTATTTTATCAAACTTACAAAACAGGAAATCTGTTCATTAATTTCAATAAACTACATAAATAATTTTCTGTTGCTCTTTTTAAGTAAACAGTAAATAATTCAACTCTATATCAAACATCATTACATATCAAAATCAATAATGCATTAGTGACAACTGAGCCATATCAATAATAATGGTTATCATTCTTGTCACTATAATTGTAATAGTAAACGGAAAGCGATAGATATTGAATATTATGATTGAAATAATTTGTTTTGCAAAATAAGTTGAGTTTTTCTACTGTTAGATGGTAATCCATCCTCATCTATGCGATTTTATTGAAACTATTGAGATACATTATATAAAAAAAAGAAATCAGAGTAAAACTGATTGATCACTTCAATTCTTTTAAGTTTTAGAATAAAATCAATTATAAAGAATTTTAATGATTGGTAAATCTCTTAAAATAACTAAGTAGAGTAACATGAATCAATTGGATATAATGATATAGATAATAATGAGTTAGAACTTACTTACTTTCGACTGTTACTCCCAACGGAGCATAGGTCGCCGACCAGCATTCTCCAACCCACTCTGTCCTGGGCCTTCTTTTCTAGTTCCATCCAGTTCTTGTTCATTTTTCTCATGTCTATCTCCATTTCCCGGTGTTCTTTGGTCTTCCTCTTATCCTTTGGCCTTCAGGATTCCATGTGAGGGCTTGCCTTGTGAGGCAGTTAAGTGCTTTCTTCAGTGTGCGTCCTATAGTCTTCTAGCGTTTTATGTAGACAACTGTTAATAAACATTAGTGATTCAAAACGTCTGCAATATGCCGTCTTTTTCACTTCGCTTCATGATATTATGTAAAGATATTTAATTCTTTGGCACATTTAATACCTATTTTATCATATTATAATGTACTTAATTATTTTATTTCGTTTCACTGAAACTCTATCATGAACTAAAATATTGTTTTTTTCTCTATTTAGCCATTAAAAATAGTGTGAGCAAATACTTCCTTGATCACAAAAATCAAATACATGAACTTATTGTACAGTATAGAAACCATCGCTTAATATTTACAGACACTTCAGTAAATATATTTAATGATTGCAAACATAGTCATCATTTTGGTCAACTTCTTATCATTATTGAATATTTGCTGAAGTAAATGATAATAATTCATTTGTAAATGAGATTTAAGTTTTTAATGGTGATGAATTCTCTGAGCTAGTTCCAAAATTAATAAATCGTGGGAAATCTGAGAATGTCGGAGAACTCCTGGAAGCATAGCATTCGTGTTGATTTGTAGTAATTAGGCACATGGAAATAGACCTGATCTATCAACCTATTCAAAAAATGGTCAGTCAACTACATGGTCAGACGTCAATCGAACGAGACGGTCGAGTTGAGTACAAAGACGAATGAAGAAAAACCAAATCTACGGAGACAACCGATTATAAACAAGGTCACCAGAACTAACTGTTTTAGCGCTTGTATAATAACTAATATATTCACTTCTACATAGATTAGGTGTTAATAATATTGTTCAGTATAACAATGAAAACTATGGAATAAAACCTTCTCACTCAGAAAATATAACAACACCGAAAACATCCACGCAAGCTGCAAATGGTCCCCACCACTTGAAAAGCTTCGACTTTATTAATGTCTATATTCATCAAAACTTATTTATTTTGGCTAAATGACCAAATAGTGTACACAATCCGTTATCATTTATTTATTCTATATATACAGGATGAAATGAGTAGAGAATTACAAGAAAATGATTGAGTATAGTGTGAGTGTGTGTTGACATACTGTTATGTAAGAAACTTTTAACAGAATATAAAGAAACATTTTATCTCCCATCTGATAATATAATTTATCAACATTAGTGAATAGTACCGACTACATTTATCTGTCATTATTACTATTGTGTATTTAATTAGACACGTTATTGACAATTATCTGAAATATGAGAAATGACTAAATTGAATGAATATGGGAAAGAGAAGGGGAAGAAAAGCAAACTCAGTGTTTAAATAAAATCAGTTTCATCATCTTCATTATCACTAGCATTACTAGTCTTCAGTTATTCCCTTCTTCTCCCCCCTGTCCTCCTTCCCCTCTTCTTAACCCATTTTCGCTTCTACCTTTCTTATGTCTTTAATTATCTCTTTTGAAGTTTAATATTTGAGTGATGTTATTTACTCCTAATGTATATATATATGCCTAATGTTTGTGGGTATGCACAAGCTTAGATGTCATGAAGCATAAAATAGAGAGAACAAGACAGACAATATCATTTGTTACTTCTTTACTGTCAGAAATTTTCATTAAATGAAAATATAAATTGCTAGATAGGTTTACATATTTTAATGTTATAAATATCTACTCAGAAGAAAAAGTTGACCAAGTGTGTTCACTAATATTTATTACATATGAGTCAGTTACCCACAGAAGATAGTCGCGCGATGTCGTCGATTAATTGAAATTAGACATCAACACCGTTTGGTCCCAGCTCAGAGATCTAGAGGCTTAACGTCCGAGAGCGAGTCAGGAGGTTCTGGGTTAGATTCCCGTATGCGGAATCGTAAATGTGCACTGGTGAGAAGTCCTACACTAAGATGGAACAGTCATCTAACGCTTCCAAGTTTTTAATTGTAGTCTTACATTGATCGATTCATGATCTTGATAAAATTCAATCGTCTCCACAATATCATACACGAAATTACTATCCACTACCCCTGAATATTTACAGTGATTCTTTAATTAATATAAATTTGTATCAGAAGGGGATTTTGTGGATATTATAGTAATTTCAATAGTTGAGTTCATGAGTTAATTGAATCTAGACCACCATGGAAAACCTGGAATCACTGAAAAGCCATTTCATCCTATTGTAGGATTCCTCAGCTTACTTACTTACTTACTTACGCCTGTTACTCCTCGTGAAGGAGCATAGGCCGCTCACCAG